GGGGCTCCCCCAGGGACATCCCGGGGGCAGCTGCGCCCCGCGGACGGGGAGGGCACACGGGGGCTGCGGCAGGTTGCCCCGAGCCCCGGGCGCGCAGCGGGGCGGCCGCTCCGTGCAGCCTCCCTGCCAGCTCCACTCCTCCCCGTGCCATTCCTACCTCCAGGATTTTTTCCTGACTCACAGCATCACCATCCGAAAGTCTCCCTGGAGGAAGGTATCTGCCTGCCCGTTTGTCTCTTTATCCCTTGCCTCATCCGCGGGAGAGGAGAGAGAAAAAAAAAAAGCCATAAGCGACCAACTCGCCTGCTTCTCTCTCCTTCTCTATTCCCCCTGCCCTCTCCCCGCCCCAGCCTCTTCCCATTGTTAAAAGGCAGGGAAACAAGCGGCTTTCCCAGGTCTGCTCCTGGGCAGGAGCGGCTGGCAGAGGTGAGCGCGGGCGGGAGATGTGAGGCCGCGCGTGGGAGTGGTCCCGGCTTTCAGAGGTGAGTGCGGGCGGGAGATGTGAGGCCGCGCGTGGGAGTGGTCCCGGCTTTGTGTGCGCCAGGCGCCGGCCGCGCAGCCTCCCACCCGGGCGCATCTCTTTTTTTGGATGCTGTGCGGTTCCCTGTGTGAAATGCTTTTCTGGTTAAAAGAAGAAGAGATGTCACATCAGGAGCTCACCCAGCGACTGACTACAGTGATCACCCATGTGGGTAAGGCATCTTTATTTTTCTTCTCGTGGCGTTTGTGTGGATTTTGGTGTCCTTTTCTTCCCGGAGGTGATGCTCTGTACAGGCAGGGAGCCTTTGTGTGACACTGTCACACCTGGAGGTGAAATGGGAGCCATCAGCAGCTTGCAAAACCAGTGGCTTTGGGAAATCAGACAGCCCTTTACTGATTACTCGGTTTGTTTTTCCACATGCAATTTGGTGTTTGAAAAGCAGAAGCAGTAAGAGCAGAATGTCCTTCCTGAGAGCTGCTCCGTGTAAAATCCCCAAGCACCTTCGTGCAGGGAAGTCGTACAGGAAAGGGGCCGGGGGAAGGATGCTGCAGAGCAGTGCTAACATGCTCTGCACTTGCTTGTGATGCTGGATTGCGAACTGTTCTGGTCCTGTGTACGGTTCTCAAAGCCTCTTTTCTTCTGCTGTTGGTGTTTCAGAGGTTCTGGAAAGTGCTAGGGCAGGATCCCCAAAGCTCTTCTGCATTTGGTGCTGGTTTTACTGTTTGCCTTCCTTCAGGCAAACAATAGTGAGCGCAGGCGAGGCCCTGCACTGCACATGGGCGTTCTCCTGAGCCCGAACCGGCTCCTCGCTTGCTGGCAGCGGTGACCAAGTAACTTGAAGCTAACAAGACAGGGGAAGATGCTGGCAATTAAAACGTCAACTAATCAAAGCTTTTGGGATCCTTCTTTTTTGCATACAGTTGAGTTAAAGCAGATTGTGGCTGTGTTGCCACATGGAAAGAGAATATTTTTAATTGTGTGGGAGCAAATTTTATAGCTGTCAGTGTTTGTAGTGGATTGTGTGTTAT